GCAACACTGACTCTGCCATGATTCCTTTGCCGCACAAAATTGGCGGGTGGAATATGGTCGGTGTGATACAGCGCACGCAGGACGTGAACTTCACTCTGTGCGTTCCTCTTAACGACCCTCCCTGCGACCTGAGACCTACGCGGTTCATACCTTTGCAAGTTCGGTGTAGTGTTTACTACAATCCTGCCGACGACGACTGCGTTCTGATCAACAAATCGTGTGTGGATTTTTATCTCACCAGCTTATGTTCTCCAACGAGCCGCCGTCGCCTATCGTATGACCAGACCGAGGTGATCAAGCCCGGTATGTGGAGAATTTCGGTGGAGTTTAAGAACCTCACAGCTGAGCAACATGTCGCCGACTTCTTGATGCAGCGGAGGCAATTCACCATCACTTTACATGAAGGCCTGCCTGGCTATTCAGCTTCCGCCAAGCGCCTTGCGTCCGGCGAGGAGCAAAAAGCTGGCAAGCGACGAAGACGGGAGGGGGGAGAGGCAGAAGTCGTTCTGACCACGGCCACAGACGTAACACGCAGATCAAATGACGCTGCCGTTGCCGATGGTGCCAAATGCCTCAGTCTCGCCATTCCAACCTCGCGGAAGATTGCTCGAACAAGCGGTACACCACTTCTTGACCTCTCGGATGGAGGAGTTGCCGTCGTCCGTTCTAGGCAGGTCAAGGACGACGAGGTCAGTCATCTGCCTCTGGGTAGAGGGGCTGGCGGGGTTTCTAGGTGCGGCAATCAGACCACCTACAGACTTCATCGGCTTGAGCGAATTGCTGATACGCTGTCAGCCAGTCTCTTCACTGGCCGCCACTCGGCGTTATCGGAAAAGGTTGTGGCGAAGGTGATCAGGTACAAAGGCAAGACGTCCGAAGACCTGATAAAATGCGCGTCGATCTGGAAACGGGAAAAGTCATTCCTGGAAAAGCTACATCACGTATGTTTTTGCCCCGAAAACGACCAGTATATCGGTCCTCTACTAAAGACGAATAGCCAAACATAGTCACCCTGAAGGCCTTCGACGGCCGCGTCTTTGCCATGCTTGTTGAGCGGCTTCCCCCGTCCCTCCACCGCGGGTTTACTTCACCGTTCAAGGCTAGCGACGCGCAAAGGATACTCCATGGCACGTCATCCGCCCTCGCCTACCTTGCGGACCAGCGGGTCATCCACAATGACATTAAACCAGCCAATATCGCCTATTCGCCTGAGCGCGGCGCTGTTCTTCTCGATTTTGGACTAGCTACGACGATGGATGAGAAGGAGCTGCCCGGTGGTACCCCTTGGTATGTCCCGCCAGACCTTATTGTACAACGAACACGAGGGACCCCGGGAGACGTATGGGCCTTGGGTGTCACAATGCTCTATGTGCTAGGAAAGATTACCCTTCCGGAGAAGACCACAAGAGGTTGGCTCATCCGTAATGTGACAAATCGACACGGGGAAGCTCGTGAGCGCTTGCTGGGCTGGCTCGATCATGTCGCTAGCGCTAGGGTCAGGTTAGATCGGTCTGATATGGTGGAAAAGACCGTTTTCAGGATGCTAGAGCCCGGAATCAATTCTAGACTCCATGCTTCACAGATCGCGGCCAGCGTTGAGGATTTGAAAGAAACCTTGGGCATCAAATTTCACTCCTCAAACTTGCAACCGCACTCGGTCGGGGACAAGGGAAAACCATCTGAGGTGAAGGATCTCACGAAAAGAAAAGCTCGGTGGACAGCGTCCGACTAGCCAGCTTCCCTGACACATTTGGGGGGCTGCATGTAACCGGGTAGTTTCGATCGTTGCAATCGGCCGTGCCATCTTTCAACTTTACGAGTTCTGTTCGCTGCCAAGACTCAGTCTCAAACTAGCAGATGTCAGAGCCAAGATCTCTTCCTGATTCATGGTCTTTGACGACGTCTACAAAGTCAGATAGTCCTCCAGGCTTTCCTTTCAGACATAGCTTTATGGCCTCATCACGCAAAGGTTTTCACAAAAACACTTTATATACACTCCACTCAAGCAGGCACGACTCTCATGCATTTGTCAGTACGCTTGCTGCACACGCGAAAGACTGCTTCGGCATGCCTGCTCACGCAGAATGCCGCCTAGGCAAAGCTGCCCACGCATAAACACGCTCGAGCAGAGCCGCTTGCGCAGGAATGCGCTCAAGCGCACGCAAAAGTCCGCTTGGGCAGGCTTTCGGTCTGAACAGTATAACCTGGATAGAGGAAGCCACGTGCCAATCGACACTAATTCCAAGAACACAATTCGTGATAAAGCCAAGAACGGAGAGCGACAAGAATGAGTACGGAGGAAGACATAACAGTTATCTAATAAAAGCATATGCCGGGAACTAGCCTATCTCATTTGCCTCTTTCCTGGCCTCTTCTCCTGCTTAACCATAATCTTCCAATGCTGAAGAACAGCCTGCTCGCTTCTATCCAGTTTCCCAGCAATCCACGACCACTCCTTTTCCTCCTGAATCCATGCGCGGAGACGTAGTTCGTCCAAATGTGTCCAACGTAGACGCTTAGTCATTCCAGCCCTGTTTCCGGGAATTTCTGGGCTGACGCTGAGATCCGAGCTGCTACTTTCGCTTTCGCTTCCACTGGCGCCCTCGCTGTCATTATCTGAGTTATCCGAGCTCTCGTCGTTTTTGACTGTCTCGGCGTTTGACGGCCCAATGACTGCCTCCACTGTGTGATCATGGTTCCTTACGCCACAGGAACTGCTCTTGCTCCTGCTCGTTGCGTTGTGTGAAAGCTTGGTGGCATGGTCCCTGATGAGCCCAACGAACAAGTGAAGAATGTCCAATCCCTTTTGACTGTTAGACAGATCAGTCATACTCCCAGCGAGAGCTTGGACGGTGTCGCTCATCCGCAGCAAAGGTTCGGCAGAAAAGCCGCACGTATGGCATGCGACTGGGTATAGACCCACTGAGGTAGCAACAGGAGGGGAGGGTACTCGGTTGGAACTTTTGAGGCCAGTTTTTTCGAAAGAGCGACGACCAAGGAGAGGTGAAGTTGTTTCAGTCATGATTGGCGGTCGTTGCCTCTGTCGAGATGGCAATGCGCGCAAAGTCCTGGCTTGTGGAGCCGGCGATGCTGTCTCGCTGCCAGCATCTCGTGATCTCCTTCGTTTAGACGAGCGAAGGCCATGGCTCTCGCAGTCGTCTTCGATAGCCCCGCGACCTCGTTTTCCCCGACTGATGATGGCATCACCACCTTGCAGGGAGACGGAGGCGTGATCGGAGGGTGGAGTAGGAAGTGCGACAACCTCTGCTTCGGGGTCTTCCACCCTGTCCAACGGGACGGCGGAAGCGTCAATTGAGAGACTGGGGGCAGAGCTTGTTGCGGAAGACGGACAAACCATGGAGTCGGGCATTGCGGGATAGCTTCTGGAGAAGATCTGTGATGCGGGCATCTCCGCCGAATCTTGAAACGTAGATTCGGGTCTTAGGACCACCAACTCTGTAGTACGGGTCTCACTATGGGTATCATCGTGAGAGCTACTGATTTCATCGTTGGTCAAGCCATCAGCATCACAGCTTTGACGGGGTTCGCCGCTCTTGCTCATCTCTTCATCCGCAACGACTGGACAATGTTCGTTAGTCCCAGCCTACTTCGCATCTTAGATAAGGGTCGCTCACCTATGTTCCTGTCACTAGCAAGAGAACTCACTGGGCGGAGTTGTCCTGTTGTACGTCTAACCAGGCCGGAAGCCACGGAAAGGTCTTCAAGCGAAGAATTTGCCTCTCTCTGAGAGGCGAGTTTCGTAGGATGGTCAAGTAAGGGTGTACGAGGCGACCAGCGTTTCGGGTGCAGCTGGATATTACCGGGAGAGAAGGATCCGGTCGTTGCCGTCGTGATATTATCCATCCCAGAGGGTAATATCGAGGCCTGTGTGGTGTGTGCGATCTCGGCCGTGTCGAGACTTTTGAACTGATTGAAGTTGGGGTTGAAATCAGGAAAGTTATGGAAATCGCCTATTGATCGTTAGTCATTGCCTAAAAGGAGGAATGCGATGGAAGCATACCCGACGTATAGCTGATCATTTGGGCTTGCGCCACCCCTAGATTTCTGATACCTCGTTCAAGCGTAGTTGGGCTGGTTGGTGGGAGGGGTGATTGTGGCTGCTGCTGCTCCCCACGCTCTCGTTGGCGTTTCAATTGTGTGAGCTTCTGCTGCGCTCCATTTTTTCGTAAAGCCTTCCCATAGACTCGACATCCAGCTGTCTGAACTGTGGCTTGACCATCGTTAGTTAGAGAAGAAACGTAAAGTTAAGTGTTTTGGCATGAGCTGGCTAGTGTGAAAGTGAGGAAAGGAGGGCATTATATAGGACGTCCGTTATCCGTGTGGCGATGGGTCCCCATTCAGGGGGCACGACGGCTGGGCTGAATGATCCGCCCATCAACCCACCGAGGAGCCTACAGCTTCCATGCCTGCGTTGGAACTCGAAGCCGGGGAAAGTTGGCGCACCAACGCAACGTAATTGCTTGGTTATGTAGAGTCCTAGATAGTGAGATGTTCCCTTCCAGGCCTGGCCGACATCCTTGAGATGTCGGTGAGCTCCCCCCGCCTTTTGTCATTGCTGTTTCGTCTCGTCGAAAGATGGCTGTGATAGCGGACTTGCCGGGCTGACTGTTTGCCAGGGGACGTATAAGACCACAGCCCTGAGCCCATGGCCAAGTCTCGCGAGCCACGTCACCGACTTTGAAGTAGGCCAAGACCATCTCAACCGCCAGGGGCGCTCCTGGCGGCATGGATCATAGTTGCCAGTCCAAAATCTACACCCATTCACTGACGCGGGCGTTCGGCCTTGGAATTGCGCCGAAAGAGGCCTGTCCAGCTGAACTCGACCCTCCGTCGAGCCCGGTGAACCTTCCAACCGGCGCAATCATCCATGCCTAAGCATGGGTGAGAAGGTCATCTGCCCCTTTACTGTCCGGGCTAATTGCACGATGCGTCGCGCATGGTGCCAAACAAGCTGTGCAATAGGCTCATTCTGTTGGAACATGAGACAGGGCTCGTAGTCGAATGACCTTAGGATTATTGCGCCAGCGCTTCGGGATGTCTTCGAGCTTCCTGGCGCCCACCGTCTCGTATATGCAATGCAACCAGTGCTAGAGCCGTTCTGTCGAGAGCCGAGATCAGGCAGAGCCGGATGCCTGGCATGTTGAGACGAGAATTGCCTCTTCAGGCAATTTCGTTGAGCCAAGGAGCCGGCTTAACTGGAACCTTTGGATGAAGTCCGGCCATCCATCTTTCCTGCTCCTGGACACGGGCACGGAGACGACGAGCTTCAAGGCATGGCTGTTCTGCCTATGGCACAAGATCATCCCAATTCGGAAATGTCATCGTCGGCGAGCTCTCGCCCCTCCTCTTGCAAGAGTGCCGCTGTGTTTGTGGCGCCGTCCCCTGGGAGATTGCGGTATCATGGAGACCTCCGCGACTGTTCACGGCCGTTCCCAAGAGCCCCACCTGGGCTAAACATTCCGCAGGCTATCATTCAACGGCAGAGCGTTTGGCGTGCTTCATCTCGGATATACGAGGCCGTTCCTGTCGCTATCATCTTGCTGGAGGCGGGCGACAAGTCTAGGCTGCAGTCTAGACGTGAACTGCCCAACAAGGCAATTTTGTTGGCGCCAGCCATCATAACCCCTGACCAATGCGTCCTAAAGCGCAGGAAACCCCCGGTGAGGTAGACATCGCCCTCTCTTGGCTCGCAGGCAAGCTGAAAACCAGTTTCCGCGGCATGCGCTGAGTTTCTCTCCACTGCTGCAGATGCTCCAACCGCTGATAAGGTGGAAGGATTGTTAGTTCCCAAATATGATAATTCGTAATCAACACCCGCCTCCCCTCGCCAGAGGAAGGGCTGAGACCAAGGGCCTCACCCCGAGCGCTCGTTATGATGCCTGACACAGCACATCAAAGTGATGCGACGTCTCGGACCATCATTCACGGTCGTATGATCTCACAGCGTCTTCCGTGATTGCCGTTCATCTCCCAAATTTCCAGAAGAGGCAATTTTGGGTCTGACGGCAAGGCGAGGCAGACATGGCTGGATGGGTGGGGGGCCCACGAGGATGGGTAATGGGCCCGCTGGGCGCTTCGCTGGGCGTTTTTGATATTCGATGTCGGTAATCAACGAGAAGAGTAGACGCAAGATACCGGACGAGGGGTGACGAAATTGCTAGAAGCGGCTATACACTGAAGGAATTAGCAACACTATTGCAGCAGAACAGAGCAAAGCCTACTGGATAGGGCGTGCTGCACCTGACATCGGCACAACCGCTGCAGGCAATTGGAAGCACCGACGTGGGTCTACCTTCAGCCAGCTTCAGTTGGCTTTGGCAGAAACCTAGGTTTGTTGCTTAGGCCGTCGTGAAGGACAAGAGTTGAAGAAAGGCCAACATTGTGTGAGGATCGAGGTGGAAGGCGTATGTGGATGGGGCCGATGAGAGAGCTAAGTGGCGCAAACAAATGCAGCGAGGAAGAAGATATACAAAGGGAACTTCGAGGTATATCGACGAGTTGGGCGGGGCAGGCGCTCCTTTATGGGCTTGCAAAAACGGCGAGGGCTGGTGTGGCCGAGAATTACCCGATGTGGCAGGTGCCGAAAATGGCATGTCAGAACCGCCATTTCCGAAGGCAGGCAAGCCGTCTCTTTATTAACGTACAGATTCTGCGCTGTCATCAAGCGCGACGTTCAACAGTATTACGAGACCATCTCCACCCGCATCGTGCATACCTTCTTCGATTGGTTCCTCAACCAGAAGGTCGGTAAGGACGGCAGGAAGAAACGTGGAATCAAGAAGAAAAGCTCGCTGGGCACATACTGGAAGGTCTTTCGACTCGTGTTCGAGAGAGCTGTGGGCGACAAGATTGATCCAAAGTTGAATCGAAGCATGCATAGGGAAGTTATCTCTCCCGGACCTAAGCCAGTCCTACAACTGACCAATCTAGGTCTTACGACGTCTATCGAAGAGGCACGGTCTAGACGACCAGCGGCGAGCCAATCGCTGTATGGTGATGGAAGACCTGATGCAGCAGAATGAGACCACGCTTAGTACGACAAAGAAGTCCTTCAAACTCGAGGAGATGCGCATCCTTGCCGTACTCTTTCTCCTCCTGCTAACCCCTGCTGGTCCTCGGCCAACGGCGACGCTCAACCTACGATTCATGGACATTCGGGTCGCTTTGGCAAGGGACCCAGAGGGCGGGCCACATAAGCTTCTTCTACGGTTCACCCCTGAATTCACCAAAACCTACCTCAGCGAAAGGAACAGTGGGTACGCTGCTATTCTAGTGCAAGCGCCGCGGTTAGCTAATGTCTCAGGAAAACATTCACGATCCCCGAAACCATGTTTGATCCGTCCTTGCTCTTCAGCCCCCACGTTTTCCTATTGGGCATCATTTTCCGTCACCGAGCTTTTCGTGCATCAAGTCCACCTTCGCCACATCATCTTCAAAGCCTTGACATACATCCTGCTGAGCGAGAGCTTCCCTTACCATTAAGGGAGGACCTTGACCAGACCTTCATTTTTCGTCGAGCTGTCGAGACGTTGACGGGCTATCAGATATCCCATAACGAACGCATATCTTACAGCATGATGGCGGCCTGGATCAAGAGAATCGGTAAACTTATGGGGCTCGAGGACCCTACGATAGCCTACAATCTGCACAACAACGCTGCCAATGCGTTTGATCAGAGTGGTCTGTCATGCTCAATTCCCTGTGCTGGCTACACTAACTATCATTATAGTCGACGTCAGCGAGGCTTTGAGAGATTTAGCCATGGGACGCAGCAACCCCGACCCTTTCCAGAGGCACTATCTTGGGCAAAACATCTCTGCTGATCTCTGGGGCATCGTCCGTGGACAGAAGCCCCAGCAGGCACTTCTCAAGCAGTCTTGCAGCGTTGGCCACTCCATCTCCCAGCGCCGTCCGATCGACCTGACGGCAGAGCAGTCTGCCTCTGTTGCGACGCATCCGACCATAAGAGCGCTTACGAAAGCTATTCAGAAACTGCCTCTGGACTCCAAAGAATCTAGAAGGATGGTGCGCAAGGAAAAGGAGAGACTCAGGAGAGATCTGAAACAGCAAATCAGGGACTAATGGACTGATAAGCAAGCCACAGACGATATCGAACGCCAAATTCACGGCGTTGGGTTTGCCAAACCGGCGACAATGGATCCCTGTCGCCCTCAGAGACCAGCACAAAAGCGATTGCTCGCCAAACTCACAGCCCCAATTGTCAAGACACTGGAAGGGCAGTACCGTCGAAGAGACGATGCCATCGAAGCGGTGTCTGCGTACTGTCTTGTGCAAGAAGGATGTAAGGCGCGCCGGTCCCAGCATATGCCAGCAGAGGGCCCACTTCCTTCTTCGTCAGGCTACCCACGAAAAAGCACCCCTTTATACGAAGCTACACTGTCCGTATTTGTTGCTGACAAGGAAGAGCTGCCAAGACGATGCTTCGTATGTATTGGTCAAGCCTTGTGTCTGCCTACGGATGATGAACAGCGGTTGAACGAACTTATGCACGAGTTCTACACCTCTGATGACCTGACCAAACACTTCAAACGGAAGCACCTTGACAAAATCGCAGGCTGCGATCAGGTAGACAGCAAGGTTTGTGACATGACTCTCAACAACAAGATGCATTTTCAGCGTCATGCCCGCGACATTCATGGGACTGTATTGTGAGCGTATGCCATGTCCCTTACAGCAATTTTGTGTTGACGACTTGACACATCAGCGCTATTCGAGGGATTACCCAGCAGACCTCTACATACGCAGGCACCTCTCTCAAATTCGAACGCATCGGACGAAGGCATGACAGAATGCAGTGTTTGATGCCCTCAGCCATCACGTGCACGCGCAGGATCAAACTACGAGCGTTGACGGCGGCGTGTCATGACACCTCGACTCATGCCTGATAACATATTGTAAGGCAGATGGAATAAGGTCACTTCGATATCGCGTCACTTCAAATGCGTACCCGGGCACATGTTGCAGCGTGATGTCTCGCTGCCACAGGAGCATGGACTAGGCAACGAGTACCACAATTGACTTGCGGGAGGGGTAAGAATTGATAGTCAACTTAAAAGAGAGACAATTCAAATACTACCACAAAGCTATTCTCGTTCATGACAATTGTCGCAGAAACCGGAGGGGTGAGCATCGACTATCCATACACAAAATCGAAACACAGATTAAATCGAGAATATACCGCTCATCCTATTTCTTGATGGCTAGAACGAAGAGTTGGCTTCTTCAACCTCATCCTGTTTCACATTGATCTTGCTATTTGAGCGGCTCACGAATTGTCCGACAAGATCGCCTGGGAAATCGCCTCCTTCATACACGAGATCACGAAATATCTTTTTCGACCACAGGCTGTCAAGGTTTATCTTAACGACTCGAAGGATAGCATCCCTGATCTGTTGACCCGATTGGTTGGTTGATTCGTACGTCTCTCTGATACAGCCTACGAAAGATTCGCTCACCCAAAGCTCTTCAAGCTTTGGTTTGAGTCTTTCGACGGCAAATCTCTTCAGTTCTGGCATCAAGAAGAAATCTGCCAAGACATAGACTCGCACGTGCTTCGTCAGTTCATCGGCGTCATCTGTGCAAAGATTAGCACTGGTCTCGGTTCGAAGTACTGAGTAGCCACCTTGCGCTTCGATCGATTCGACTTCTTCGGAATAATTGTTGGTGTACATGAACTCGAAGACTCTCCAGTACGCATGTGCACTTCCTTCGCGGAATTGAAACGTCTTGCTCTCGCTTTCTTGGAAGTTGCCCTTGAGGGCTTTTTTGAAGTATGGGCTGTGAGCCGCTAGGACTAAGCCGTGGGCCGGCAACTCGAACTCGCCGATACGGATTTTGACGTCGGCATGGTCTGTTTTATTGAAAAGCCTTGTATGCCATAGTTAGTTCTCATCCTGAGTTGGCCATACATCTAAGATGTTTACTCTGCAATCTCCCTAAGGAGAGTCTTGGACTCGGCCATCCTTTCACTTTCTTACCCATGGAAGCTATGATGAGGTTAATCAGTCTTTGCGAGGTTCGAGCAAGGCACGCCACGTGTTTAAAGACTGGTTTATCTGATCAGCCGCCTTTATGTCAGCAGCTACCCCCGAATAGCGGGGTTCGGCCAGCCACCGACGCGCTCCGGCTGTTAATCCGTAGCACCCGGAGTCCCCAATACAAAGCCTTGACCAGCTGTCTGAAAACACTAACAAAAGCGAGAACGAAATTGTTGAAACCAGCACCAAATTGATCGAACCACGCCCGCTCGCGTCTGCAGAGGCCACTTTGGGCACAATGTCATCCTCGGCATTGATTCTGCATCCAAAGAGCCTGCTCGTGGCCGCGAGCGGGCTCTGACCACGAAAATTCGAGAGCAAGCCACAAAGCACGACGTGTCAAGAGACAACACCATCGCCACCTCCGCTGGCGGGTCACGGGTTTTCACGCGAAGCACAACGACCGCACCCAAACACATCAACACTACAGCCACCGATAGGTTATGGGTCGCCTATCACCCCCGACAAAGTTTGCAACGTCCCGCGACAGCAACGACGACGAGCCCGACAGAAAGGTATCACCTCCTGCACAGAGCAAGCACTAGACATCAGGCATGCTACAATCGGTGCCGAAAAATACTACAGATTACAGACAGCTTGGTCGCCTGTCGCCCCCTCCCCCCTTTGCGAAGAAGGAGTGTCGTCCCTTCAACGCACGACAATGTCTGCGGAATCTGTGCACGAGCTCTCCTACTCAGTGATCGGACGAATCGACGCGATTGAAGCATTGTGTCTTGCGGATCGAGACCGACCCTAGGCGGCGGACGGCGGTGGTGGTCGAAAGATAGAAACATAGAGCCACATAGGAACCCGGCAGGAAGCAGCAAAAACATTTACAGTTCGACTGAGATACGATACATGCGAGTCTGAGAGGATGCGGACAAGAGAAACAAGCGAAGCCGAGCGCTGGGGGGAGACTGTAGGTACGCTGAACCAGACATGGTGGTAAGCACCAACAGAGCCGAAGCAGGAAGACGCGAAAGAGGGAATCCAGAGACGAGGAAAACAATTGTGATGAGAGAACGGTAATGCAGCAGGAAGAGAGTCTTCAACAGAGAGAATCAACATAGAGGATAGACAGCGCAGCGAGGAATTTGGAGACAGCTGGCCTTGATTCAACAGCAGGGCGAAGTGGGGCGTCGCGACTTGTCGTGGACGCGTCGGCTGTTGGCCAAACCTTGCTTTCCGGGCATAGCTGCGGATAAGAGCGGCCAAAACCGAGTAGGAATAAATCAATCAATCAATCAATCAATCAATCAATCATTTGACCAGCTGTCTCCAAAGTTCCCATATTGCTCTCTAGCCTCATCTATCCCTGGCAGCCACCAAGTCTATTTGGCGGCTCTCTGCTCATTTATATACGAATACGTTTAGGCCCTTTTGATGTCTGGTTCCTTGTGTGACAGTTCCAACTACCTCAGTCTCCCCTAATGCTCAGCTTTGTGCGGTTGTCACTCAATCACATGCTGCCTCAGGGTGTCGGTCTGTTTGGATCGGACTGTCTTGCTGACTGCTTTGCGCTTGTTCAGTATGATCCGGAAGATGTGTCTTCCTGGAAGCGCTTCGATTCTCTGGCGCTGGAGCC